TAACCTGGAAAAATAAACATTCAAGTCATTTCAAACAAAAAACATGAGATAAAGTTCTCCTTTCTTTCTTATTTTAATTGGTACATTTTAAATGTATTTATTTAATGGTTCATTTATAAAATTCTGCTTTTATTTCTAATTATGTCAGTTTCGGTCCTCCATACTGCAGAAGCCTGATAATCATCTATTCATTCATATCAGGTGTGTTGGAGCAGAGAAGCAAGAAAACATGCAGGGCTGCGGCCCTCGAGGACCAGGATTGCCCACCCCTGCTCTAAGTCAAAGGCCAGTGGGGGGTCTGCCACAACTGGATGAGCAGTGGCGTGCACAGGCATTTTGGGGGGGCAGGTGCTCAAGTGAAAAAATAAAAATAAAAGGTCACCTTGGGCAGTGCACAGAATAGCTAGCTGTCCTATTAGTGTGACATTTTAAGTTGTTCTGATTCATCTGTTTCAATTCCATATTCTGTCTGATGCAGATGTTTAATAATCAACACTAAGTGACTGGGCATTTTGTTCATGAGTGATGGTAGGATGGAGCAGAAGATGTAGCGACAGATCAATGCCTTGTTTTCAGTAAAGAGGGTGTTGCTTTGGGTCAGTTGTGAAGAAAGAGTTAAGTCGAAAGGCAAAGCACTCAATGGTCAGTCAACATTTCAACCCGCACCTATGGTCATGAGGTTTAGATCATGATGGGAAGAACAAGATATTTTATACAAACAGCCGAAATTCGCTTCTTTCATTGGGTGGCCCGGCTCAACAGATAGACTCAGAGTAGAGCTGCTGCTCCTCTGCATCGAAACAATCAGCTGAGGTGGTTCAGGTATCTGATTAGAATTCTGGTTTCTTTTGGAGGTTTTATGGGCATGTCTCACTAGGATCTAGGACAGTACACAAAACACAACAGACTCATTCTTAAGACAGCTCAGTACGGGACTGGCACGTGTTCTGTCCACCTCGGATCATTCAGAAAAAACACAAAGGCAGAAAGCCAAGTAAAGTTAATCCGCCTCTGATGCCCCTCTCAGGCCCAATGTGAGGTAGTATCAGAACCGGGCAGACACAGACCGCCTTGTGAAAGAGCAACTCGCGGGTTCCATGGCTCAGAAAATGAATGATCTGGTGACATTCGTGAGCGACTGCAGGATTAATCAACAAACAGATTTATTAAGGAATATTATACAGAACAGCAACTGTGTAGTTAGTTTGAAAATTATTGAACACGGAATCGTTAAAATGAGTTAATTCAGTTTGTTTTGTTTGATACGAGACAGCAGATGTCCATCACACAATAAATATGTCACAGTCCACTGCAGCTGAGATCTACTCCATGCCTCCTTTGGTTCTGAGCTGCTGGGTTCATTCCTGAACGCGTACATGAGTGGGACCTGGCCGGCTTCACCTGTGATTTATGAATGAACCGAGGGAGCTTAAAGCTGGACCGGTCTGTGCTGTGAATTTGCGGAACAGTTTTGTGAGAGAGGTTAGTGTCACCACTAATGTTATTGACACTTTTGTATGTTATTATTATTCTTACTAGTGATTCTATTTTATTTTCATTTTACATTTTGGACATATTTTTAATATGTATTAAATAATATCTTGTTAATTAAAATCTATTGCTCTTTGGGGTTCACCAGGACCATGGTAGGAAGCCCCAGGAGGAGGGGGGTCTCTGCAGTCACCAAGTAGGAGTTTCTTATGGGAGATGTTGGCCCAAGACATGATTTGTGACATTGACAATGGGTTTGAAGAAGCATGGGGGGCAGCTTGGTCGAATCAGGCAGGAAGCACCTATATTTTTTAAATATGGACATTATTTTAGTCACAACTTGAGACAGGAACATGCTAGCTGCACAAAATCTGAATGCCATACATATGGAGGTAACAATTGTATAATGTGTAACAATTTGGCTTGGTCAAAACATCCCTAACCAGCCTGAAAAAAGATCAAAAATCAATATGAATATGAATATTAGTCATAACTTGAAGATGCTAGTGGCACAAGATTTGAAGTCAATAAATTATGTTTACATGTTCGCAATAACTTTTATTTGAGTCATTGTTCTGTTGTAAACTGTACGTAGACAGTCAATAAATCATATTATTTTACTATTATCATTACTTCCTCATTTAAGTTGCTCACAAAGTCAACCCAACCAGTCACTCGGCCCACACACCAAATCCACCAATCACGATTTGGGCCAACTGTACGCCCACATTAAGACCTCAGCCAATCACAAACTCCACCCACAGGAAAACATGTACTGCAGAGACCCCTAATTGAGGGAAGACCCTCCTTGTCTCACAATTCTACCATGGTTTGTTGATTAATAGTCTATAATTTGAATAATTAGACAAGAAATCTACTTTTCATTTCATTGGACTTTCTGTAGTGTAATGTATCAATATCAGTGTATTTATAACATCTTTTAGATCAGTTTTACTTCCATTCATACATTCATTCTTTTTACTCACTTATTCCTGTTCAGGATCAAGGAGATCTTGTCCTGTGGTCATTGGTTGAGATATACACATGGACAGGTCACCATTTCATCACTGAGGTACAGTGGTGGGCACAGTTCCCCTAAAGCACTAAAGCACTAAATTAGTCCTTTAGGGCTTTTGCTCATTTTAAAAAATAATTAGTGGATTAGCACTTACTGAATTTATAGGCTAAATTTAGAAGCACTAACTGAGAACTGTTAACAGCTGAGGGTGAAAGCTGTCACACATTTTGTTCATATGTGTCACTTATCTACTAAGACAACATATGAATCCAAACACAGCTGTGGAATGTCAGTGACAAGGCTTAAGAGAGCAACATGACAATATGTGACTCATGCTGACTCTAAAATAATGTTCGTGGGTTGATTGGGTTATTTTAGTGCTTTAGAATTAGCTTTTGCAAAAACTTTCAGTGCGTTAGTGCTTTAGAATTAGGGGACCTAAATTTTTGAGTTAGTGTTTTAGGGCTAGTAGAACTAATTTTTACATCAGTGCTGCCCATCACTGCTGAGTTACAAAGAGACAATAAAACAAAACATTTTAGAGTTTTCAGTAGTCTAACCTTCGTATATTGGATTGTGTGAGATCAGATACCCGACCAGAGAACCCACAGATAGTACAGGTGAGCTGTATGCAGAAAAGCCCCAGCTAAAAGAACCTTCTTGCTAACCAACTCTCCGATCACGCAGCCCTTGCTTTATTTAAAACCTAAAATGTTAACAGGAACATTTTTGACTCTTAACCGGTAAGAAGTCTAAATCTGCTCATAAAGACCCACACAAAGTCTCTGCAGGTGTCACTGTTGCCTCTCCTTTTACACTTCACTTTTTCTTTTTCAGAACTTGTCCCCTTTAAACAAAAGAAATTTTGATTTTAACACTTTTTGCAAACAATAATAAAATGACTTGTTTTTTAAAAGTGCATAGTCGCATTTGACATCTCACTTGTGTTGTTCATATTCCACTGCTAAAACAATAACAAAACAAAATTTTTTAATGGTGAAAACATTTATTAAACACATTAATTTCCACATTGTTGAAAAAAAACTATAATTCTCCTTTAATAAATTAGGTTTAAATGCCTGACTGTATTTGTGAATAGGCAAATAATCACAATAATAACCTAAGGCATGTATATTGCAGTTTATCACTGTGCTGTGTTGTTTTTTTCACTGCAGTTCAGAAGCTGGTGAAGCAGCATTACGTTTTGTGAGGTGAAGACGCTTCTTCTCTCAACTCTTCACCGCTTCCGTCTCTGATCTCCAGTCTGACTGCACTGCTCAGATTCAACAGCAGGCACACAAAATAAAGTTTTTCTTTTTCTTTTTATTTCAAGTAAGACTACGTGCAGTCACAGTTCTTTTTAAGGCAGTGCAGTAATCGGGCTCAGTTTCAACTGGTGGTGGACCGGGGACTGCAGGCAAGAGGTAGGGAGCGTGAACACGGAT